GTTGGAGGACATCAAATATTTCCTATAAGTACTCAAAGGTAATTGTTCCTATGCCTACATATGTATGTTTTTAATGCCTTAAGCAATGGTGTATTGAAACCATTGGTACTTAATCCTATGTAAGCAGGTATTGCATAGGGTATAAAGGACTTCTCTAGACATTTATGGGGGAATTACAAGGAAGTGGTTCTCAGCAACTTTCTAATGTTGAAAGCTGTTCAGCAGTGGAACAGTCTTCTTATCCCCTATCTAAACGTTCCATCTACTGTAGATTTAGTGCTTCACAAGACCTGTGAAAATAGCGTCCCACGCTCCACTCCACCCTGAGTGCATATTTCCTCTTAAGGATAGTGTGCTGAGGGAGTGTTTGTGCTGTTATGAAAAGAGAGAGTCAAGGGGGAAAGGAGGAAAATGTAAGCTTTAAACAACCCTGGACTGCTTGTAGAAAGCCCTTAAAGTGTTGTTCACTAACTGTAACCCCTTGAACATGACAGATAAGCACTGAAGAAGTAAATGAGAGTGAAATCGAGTGGCTCATGGAAGAAATTGCTGCGCCAAACCAGAAGCTGGACAATGAAGGGAAAGAAAATGGCCATGTCACCAGTAAAGCAGTTAAATCAGAGACCCTCCCGTCCCTTCATGTGGATGACATGGACAGTGAGGATGAAGTTCTAACAGTACCAGAAGTGAAGATTCATTCAGCCAAGACCTTCCAGTCCAGGGGCTCCCACAGGAGTGTGCCTCATCAGAAGGCAGGCGATGAAGCTGGCCTGCTTAATGGCGGCAAGAATAGCAAAGGCAGCTCTGCTTTTGGCCAGCGGAAGCTGCGGAATTTGACAAATACAGCATCATTCCACGATGACAGTGATGAGGACCTGTTGAACGTTTAACCCAGTACTGTGCCTGATCAAAATTCCATGTATATAGGATATGGGACAGCAAAACACTTCCAACCAAATATGAAGACTTTAGCTGCTGATTACTTCTTCTTCTTTTTTTCCTGGCCTTTTGTAAGGGAATGTTGCAGAGGGAGAGAAATGGTCAATCCTAGTTGTTTACAATGGTCTCTTTAGTGGTTGCTGGACTTCTAGCATTCAGTAAACTGAACTGTGGTAACTCTCCTATGTCAGGGTTTGCAACCTCTACACCTCTCCTGACTGTAAAAGCCACACAATGTTTTTGAAGGGTAGAATCGAATTTGAATGAAGTCCCCTCACTTCTAGCTTCAAGAGGAGACTTGCGTTTTAACACTCTCATTAATTTATTGCTCTCGCTACTCAGGTTCATGGGAATAATAAGCAGCATGTTCTTCCTGCAGGCAGGGTATTTGTTCTACAGGCTTCCCCATCACATGAAGCAGAGATTGAGGGGTTTTTTTGCGTGTCCGCCAGGTTGGTTTGATGTACATTTTAGAGCTGATCTGATGAAGCTCGCCTGTAAATTTGACTCCTGTATCCTAACTTAAAATGGCTTGTTATGATTTGAAAACTGTTTTTACTGAAAGGTACATATCTTTAGAGCTTTAGCCTAGAACAGTGGCTGTTCTTTGCATGGTGAAGTCTCCCTTCGGTACTGATCACACAAATCCTTTCATCAGTATTTTTTAAAAAGCGATTAAAGCACCCAAAGATCTCCTTCAACAATAGTTGGGCTGAAAATATGGTCACTTTTCAGATGAGCTTCAGTCTTCTGCATGATGCTTAAAAGGTCAGAAGTTCCCTGGTGCCGGAACGTTGGAAGGATGGGAAGGGAGATTGGAGGGCTGTACATTGGGGGTGTTTGTGCGGCTTCAGTGGCTATAGAAGGAAGAGTTCCCATTATCTTCTGGGAAGTAGCCCTTCTAGAAAAAGCTGACAACCCCACCACGTATTTATTCCAGACCAGGCTACAGACTTACTAGAAAATCAGCCTCACTGCCCTGGAAGGTGCTGGTCTGCTGAAAGCCATGGGCCACAGAAGCCTTAATTGCACAGGCTCATGCCCCCTTTTGGTGCTGGAGTATGTGAATGCTAATAGGCAAAAAAAACCAAGGCATCCTTTGGTTCATATCTCCAAACATTCCAGTGTCACGTGTTGGAGCCATGGTAATTAAACTGTTGGCAAAGCTGAGTCAAGATCTCCCTGTTCCTGTACCAGCCGGCACCTGCTCAGTGTTTCTGAAAGGTATCGGGGCAACGAGTGAGGTTCTATAGACAATGTACCGGTCCTTGTACTGGCCAGAAGCTTTTCCTCATTTGTACCTTTCCTATTTACTTTGGTTTCCACTGGGGGAATCAGGTTTAATGTAATAAAGTGTTCGGACAATTTCAATAAATGATAAATTATTAAGATTACTTTTCTAGGAGTTGGTAAATGATAAAAATTGTTTTTGATCCTGTTAAACGTCTTCATAATGGACCTTTTAAACAGGGAAGGAAAAATACTTTTTGAAATGACAGATTACTGAGGCTAGCACCTGGCAAACCATTAACATACTATAAGACCATCTTTCGGGTATGTTGTAGGTATGTAGGTATGTATCTTTCAGTATACTCCTGCAGAGTGCAGGGGGTTGGACTAGATGACCTGCAAGATCCCTTCCAACTCTAACATTCTATGATTCTATGAAGACTGAAAACTGTTCTGGAGCAATTCCACTGAATTCAGTCTGTTGACAAAGGTATTCTCGGCTGTCTCTGGTGACTCAGAGGAGATGGAAAGACACTGCGTATAAGTCATTTTCTGGTCAGCAAGTATGTGTAATGAAAAATATTCACAAATTACCATGTAGTGGGGGAAAAGGGAACTATTGTTTATCTGTAAGCCTTAGAGAAGGGGTTCTAAGCACTTACTCAGATCTTAACACTGTTTCCCAAAGAGCTCAGAACAATCTAAATGAGGATGGCCATCATCTATCACAGAAAGGCTCATTAAAAATGAGTCTGTGGATGTTTGGTTTCTGGTTCCTCAATTAAAGGATCCAGACACAGCCTAAAGGAAGGTGGGACCTGAAAACTCAGCACCGCAAAATTAGTTGATATTATGTTGTCCTCTGTGGGTACTACCCACCTATGTGCCTGGCCAAAGCTTTTCCTGGATGCAAAGCTTTTACAAGCACACCACAAGTCAGAGTAGGACAAGACTGTTGAAATAACTGCCCAGCATGAAGTTTACTGAGTAGTGTTGGGCAACGCACATACTTACTCCCACCACCACTCCCCCATGGGACAGGAAGAAAATGTTTGTATTTCTTTTGTGGGTCACAGAAAATAGGATTTAAAGAGGATGTTTTTTCACTGATGTAAGTTGAGGACTTGACTGGTCCAGTATTTCCCCTACATGGGCGATGCAGAAAAGTCTTTAGGGGTTACTTTAGTACAGATGATGCCTTTGTGCATTATTCTCTTCTAGAGCTGGTCAGTAATTTCATGTTCCTCCATTGGATACAGAATAGATAACTTAGAAAGCAAAATCATTTTGTGCCATCCTGACATCATGGGAGCAAGCTTAACCTGCAGTTGTTAGTGCGTCTGACTTTCTTTCCCCCAATCTTACGAGACCATTTCGTCACCAAGGGTAACTTTCAGTCACACCACTCGATGCTGCAGACCCCCAAAGAAAGTAGGTAGCTGCCGCTATAGAATGTTATCAGTCTGGACTCCTTGCCTTATCTAACTTCCACTCATTGATTGTCCCACTATTTTCTCATAGGGACATACTGCTTTAAGAGGGTCATTACTCGGTGTTGTGTTCCACATTTCCACCTGAAGAAGTACTAGAGTGATGTTAATAGGGAATCCCCACCTAACGCAGGAGGGAAGGAGCAGCCTTGGTGTAAGGAAAATTCTACATAGAGGGAATCAACCCCCATTCCTCTCTGATCATGGTAATCACCCCTAGATTTATTCCCAGTTCACACATATAATCTGAAATCTAAAATAATTTAGAGGACGATTACTTCCGGATCCCAATCCAGAGATGGGTGCATGTCCAGGCATCTACACAGTTCCCAGCCCAGCAGGGGTGGGTATACACAACCTTTTCACAATGCACCATCCTTACTTGTTGGTTGCCTGTCAGATGCATCTTCATCACAGATTCTAATTCCTTGCTTGAAAGTTACTGATTTAGCAAAATTTACCAAAATGAAATCCAGAACAATCACCAATTGCTTTATTTACAGCAATTGGCAATTTATAAATGGGTTCTTGCCAATTTATACCAAGGTCCTGATCCCATCAAGGGTTACCAGTAAAGGATTTGAGGCTGTTGTGGTTAAAATAGATGTCTTTTACTTAAAATATGTCTCACAAACAATAATGATGCACTCACACATTCAATCAAATTCCTAAGAATTAC